TGCTGCATGGCTTCCACAGAACACAGTCCCAGGATAGGGGAGGGGCCCTGGGACCCAGGCGCGGAGGAATACTGTTAAAAAGAGGCAAACCTCTGATTATACGCCGATGGTCTGATTGTGTTTACACATGAAATATGAGATAATCGACCAACAAACTCTTAGCAATGTTAAGAAGTTCAACAAGGTTGCTCAAAACAAAATTAATATCCAAAAGAGTCAGCATTCTTATGTCAGCAATAATCAGATTAGAAAATGCCATAGAGAAAGGATCCCGTCGCCCACAGCAACAAAAACTAACACATCCAATAAAAGCCCTAGCAGCCTTTATTAAAGGACAAAAAGGTCAGAAGAGATAGAGAGGTAGATGCCATTTCAATCAGAATCTCCAGAGAGCTTCTCAATTGGGGAGGAGGGGGGGTTGTAGCGGAGGGGGGATGGAGGGTGGGATAGGAGAGTCAAGAGGCAGTGTTTGAAGAAGAAATTGAAGAGGAGGAGGAGGAGAGGGATCGCCATATGGGAGGTGACATATAAGGCTCCAGTGATTGAAACTGCGGGGTGGTGCAGAGGTAGACCAGTTAGCCAGAGGAAGAGGAAGAGACTCAGGGCAGACTCCAGGAGCTGGAATAAGCCGGAGGCGACATATCAAACTGTTGCAAAAAGGGCTGCCTGTAAATGGGGTGGGATGATTGGTTCGCTTAGCACATGGCAAAATCATTAAAAATGTGGATTTCTGCCTCAAACCAGCCATAACATAAATTCCAGCCTAAATATAAAAGAGTAAAAACTTTAAAACCTTTGAAAGAAGATATAGGAGAAATCATTATCACAAAGTCAAGACACTAAGAGAAAACGACTAATACATTAAATTTTTCTTCATCAAATTAAAGAGACCTTATAATCAAAATAACAACAAACTGTGAGGTGGAATAAGACAGCCGCTGAGCCACGTCCCTCCAGACCTAGCTCAGTGGTTCCCGGCAATTCTTTGGCCTGAATAAGTAACTGACCAGTGGTTAATGTACAGACGATGGAAAGAACATCTCCAAATCAAAGAGAAAGAGCTCACTCCATAGAAACAACAGAGAAAGGTCACGAGCAGGCAAGTTACCCAAGAGCCAGCACCAGTGATCAATGAACATGGAGCTGCTTGACGTGGCCAGTCATTAGGATATGCAGATCAGATAAAGTGAGACATCACTGACATGCATTACATTGAATCAATACTTTGCAGTCTGACAGCACCCAGGGCTGATGACTTGTGGGGAAATGAGTGGTTGAATTGGGACAGTCACCTGGGAGAGTAATTAAGCCAAGCCTGGGATCGTTAATGTGATGCATACCAGAGGGAAGCATTCCACGTGGGCAGGGCCCACACAGACACGGATGCCTGACGCAGTGCTGTTTACACCATCAAGCACGGGGCCCTGTCTACCAGGAGGACGGCTGAAGGGACCCTGGGACAGTCTTTTTTTTTTTTTTAATATTTTATTTTTTTACAGAGAGGAAGAGAGAGGGATAGAGAGTTAGAAACATCGATGGATCAGCTGCCTCTTGCACACCCCCTACTGGGGATGTGCCTGCAACCAAGGTACATGCCCTTGACCGGAATTGAACCTGGGACCTTTCAGTCCACAGGCCGATGCTCTATCCACTGAGCCAAACCGGTTTCGGCCCTGGGACAGCCTTCATGGAATATATACCGAGAGAGGCCGAGAGCCTCCAAGATGGTCCGGAGACCAAGTCCCAGTTCCTGGTGTGCTTCTGACTGATGATGATAGATGAGTTACACGTCCCTGTCCCTCTGAGGAGAGACTATCTCCCCGGGTCTGAGGGCAATCCCCGCAGCTCAGAGAGACTTCCCGACCGCCCTGGTGACACAGCCAGCATGTCAGAGTGGCTTAAAGGGTGAGTGTGGAGACTGGTTCAAACCTCAGCTGTACTGAGCACTGTCTGTGTGATCGCAGGCAAGTTGGCGAGGCTCTCTGTGCCTCAGTTCCCACCTCTGTAAATGGAGATAATAGTAGTTTCGCCTCGGAGGGCTGTTGTGAGGGCGAATGAGGCGATACCCCGAAGCCTTAGCACTGCCTGAGATCAGGAAGTGCGGGCGGTGGGAAACGCCGTGGGGGGAAGCAGAGTGAGGTGGGCTGGAGGGACGGGGCTCAGCGCGGAAACAGGCTGCTGAGCAAGCACCCCTGCATCTCACCCTCCCTGAACTGCCCCCTTCATCACCGCAGCTTGCAACCCAGCCCCCCCAGTCCTCACCCCCACCCCCCATACCGCCAGCCAGCTGCCCCTCTCCCGGCTTCGGTTCCCCCTGCTGTCCAGGCCCGTCACAGCCTGGCCACGTGCGTTTGGGACAGAATTTGTGGAGCTGATTGAATTGAACTCAGAAGATGTAGAGATCACGGGTTCTCTCCGATGGTTATTTCAAGGTGAAACATGACATGAGGAGGTGGGCGCAGCAGACCGGGTGAGCGACACAGACACGGACAGGGAGGAACTCTGAGGCAGGAACCTGTGGGCCCGGGTCAGGGAGAGGGGCTCCCCCGCCCCCTTTGCAGGCCTGGCCCGGCCCGTTGGGCGAGGGAAGCATTAACTGCCTCGTCCCCGGAGTCTGTGTGTGAAAAAGCCCTAGAGCAGCGGTTCCTGATGACTCTCTAGCCCATGAAAGCTTCTCTAAAACCCTATCCTCCTCCCACCCCCCCAACTGCCGGGTCCGGTGTGGCTCAGTGGATAGAAGGTCAGCCTGCAGACTGAAAGGTCCCAGGTTCGATTCCGGGCAAGGGCATGTACTTTGGTTACGAGCACATCCCCAGTAGGGGGTGTGCAAGAGGCAGCTGATCGATGATTCTCTCTCATCGGTGTTTCTAACTCTCTATCTCTCTCTCTTCCTCTCTGTGAAAAATCAATAAAATATATTTTAAAAAATAAAAATAAATAAAATCCTATGCCCCCACTCTGCCCCGTGACACACAATCCTTATTACTCAAAAAGTGAGCTCCTGTTCACGTGGAGGAAGCCTAAAAGGCCATCAGCTTGGTCTAAACAAGCTCCCAGGGAACATGGCATCCGTGGGAGAGAAAAATAAAAGAACGAAAGGGCAGGTGAAGTACTGAGGAAGAAATTGTCAAAAAAATAACATGAAGTGATATGACAATATAACAAAGTTTTGAAATATATAATAGAGAACGGAAGCATAAATATGTCACTATATATTTATATACTGTATATGAGGCCCTAGAACTGTAAGAAATGTAAAATATACACTGTTAACTCATTCTCGAATTGCCCCCCTTAAAAACCAAATTGCCCCCCTGTGAGGCGTAATAGGGTTAGGGTTAGGGTTAGGGTTCTCCCGTTGGGAACCACTGATCTAGAAGGATCCAGGCAGAGCCCTCAGCACTGGCTACAGGAGGGAGAGGGGACTGTGGTGAGTGGGGTGGGGGAGGATTTTTTACTCTATAAACTTTTACTCTATACACTTTTAGTCTGTATACTTTGGCATTGCTTGGATTCTGTGCAGTGAGAGAGGATTTATTTATTACATGTGAATATTCAAAAGAAAAATTAACTTTGCCCCTAAGAGGCACTCAGTGCAGGGCGTCGCTATTATCCTTTAAAACAAAGACGAAGACCCCTGCCCAGCACACAGGTTGGGGCTGGCCCCTCGGCCAGGCTCGCCGACCACCCTCAGAGGCATCCTGGACCAGCCACCCAGGCTTCTCTCCCCTCCCCTCCCTCCGCCTGCCATGCTTCCTTGTCTCCACCTGGGGGTTGGGTGCTGTAGAATCCCCACTGTACAGATGCAGAAACTGAGGCACAGAGCGGGCAGTAATTTCCCCGGGTCCACACTGTGAAATGGCAGGGCTGGGCCCAACCCACGGACGGGTAAGCCTTAGCCGCCCCCGCAGTGCCCTCACGGCCTCTGCCTCACCTCTCGCCTCTCAGGGAGGGATCAGAGCTTGTCCTTTGTCTCAGGCCCCCGGAGATCAGTCCCTGTCGGCCTCCCAGCCTCCCCTACCCCCCCTCTCCCTTCTCTCCCCCGCTCCAGTCTCCCCAGCTCCCTGGCTGCTCCTCGCCTGAAACATTCTTTCCTGCCTGACCTTCCAGTGGCTTCTTCTCTCGGTCTCTGCTCGAATGCCGCCTCCTCCAGGAGGGCTTCCCTGATCACCCTTTCTGAAACAGTCCCCACTTTATTCTCCGACCTCTTCCTGCTGTCGTTTTAGTCACGGACCTTGCACTCCCTGTGGTGGCCTCAGGTTGCTGTGTGGTTGTCTATCTGGTGTCTCCTTCCCTAGCGTTTCTGTTCCATGAGGACAGGGACTCTGTCCCTTGTGCCTGGAGCAGGGCTGGGCACAGAGCTGGAGCTCAGTACACGAATAACTGCGCCCAGGGTGCCCATGTGGATGGACCCTGGGCCTCCAGGGCCCGGTCGAGGCCTGCCGTCTGGGCTGCTGGGAACATGTGTCACCCCCCACACACACACACACATACTCCATACAATGGGGCCTCTTCCCCGGGATCAGCAATATGGCCCACCTTCTCTCTGGGCCCTGGACTGGCCGGCGGGAAGGTGAAAGGAGAGCGGCCACAGTCCTTCCCAGCTCCTGCCACCCGGCCCTGCACCCCCCGCAGCCCCAAGGCTCCCGCCCCGGCACCGGAACCAGGCCCGGCCAGCCCACCCAGACACCGGCCGCTCACATGTGCCCACCTCTGACTGCGCCCCGCTGTAAGTCCCCAGACCAGGATGTGTGGGGGACCCCCTGCCTCTAACTGAGGGAGACGGGCATCGCAGGTGAGGCAGGAGCGAGAGGGATGGTCAGAGACTAAGACTGGTACCCACCGACTCCAGCTCAAACACCTCCGCCGCTGCCATCCCACCTCCTCCTCCCCGTCTCCCGGACGGAAGCCCTGGCCTTGCTCCCCTGAGCCACCCTGAGCCACCCTGAGGCTCCACCGTGGGGGCCCCCCGAGGCTCCGGGAGCAGAGCCAGGCCTCACCCATCTCGATGCCGCAGATGACCAGGGCGGCGATCACGGCGCCCGCCGACGTGCCGGCGAAGCGGTGGGCGGTGTCCAGCATCCGGGGGGCCAGGTCCCGCAGGGCGTCCACCGCCCCCGCCTGGTAGTAGGAGAGGAAGCCGCTGCCCGAGAAGGAGATGGAGTGGGGGGTGTCCGGGTCCCCCTTAAACACCTGCTCCTCCATCTCCTCAGCCGGGGCCGGGCGGGCAGGAGCCCCCCCTCAGCGGCCGGCCCGCCCGTGGGAACCGGCTGCCGGGCTTCCCTGCGGCCGGCGCCCGGGATGGGGCGGCTCTCCGGGCGGCGGGCACCGTGGGGCGCGCCCGGGCCTGCTGGGCTGCACCAGGACGGGTGAAGGAGGCCAGCTGCCAGCAGGTGCCCAGGCCGCCGGGTTTCATGGCGCGGCTCGCTGCATCTCCTTCATCTCCGGCGAGTCCTCGCCTCTGCCGGGCCGGCTGCACCGGGAGCTTCCAGCTGCGGGGAGGCCGGGCCAGGGGCGGGCACTGCTCAGCCCTCCACCCGGGGGGCTGGGCACGCTGAGTTGCAAAACTTCCGTGATGGTATCAGAGGCCGCGAGGAATTCAATGCCGGCTCCCTCCCGGGCGCGTCCCCTCCCACTGCAGGCTGGCAGGCTGGTCTGCTTTTGGGGGACACACTCCCACCCCCCTGCCCCTACCGTGACGCCCTCCCGGCTCCTTCTCCAGACCGCGTGGTGCATGGAGCGTGGCTCACTGAGTCCCTGCTCCTCTCACACACTGAGTCCCTGCTCACTCACGTGTTGGCTCCCAGGGCAGCCGGGCCGGGCAGAGCCCTGAAGGAAGGCACGTTGGGCTTGGGGCCCACCCAGCACCCAGTCCACCCTCACCACCTTTCTCTCCAGCCCTTCCCTGACCAGTGACCCTTCGCCACTCCCTCTCACCAAACCCAAACCTTCATGCTGTCGTCCAGGAAAAAATCCCGTGAAACCTGGAACATGCTAAGCATTGGGCTGGACCCAACTTTGGGGTGAGAAGTTGGAGAGGCCATGTAGCCCCAAGGATGAACAGCGGGGGGACAGGCATGGCATTGGGACCGGACAGGCATGGCATGGGGCCCGGGGCCAGGGGAGGGCGGGATGTGTGTGTGTGTGTGTGTGTGTGTGTGTGTGCCATTCGCACCCCCGGAGCACCGGCCCACACTCTGGAGAGGGAGTCTTCCTCACGCCTGTCATTTTCACAGCATCCCCTCCCCCGCGCTCCCCATCCCCCGCCGGTGCCCGACCCTCCAGAGGCAGGTCCAGGATTAGAACTGAGACACCAGCTACCCTGCCCCAGCGGCCGGGCCAGCTCTCGCTCCGTGGGGGGTGACAGCCATGCCTGGGGCCCGGGAGGTCCCAGCCTCTGCGCCTCACTGACCGATGGGTTCCCGCAGCCAGGGCGGCGCCCAGGAGCAAGGGGCTCTCTCACCTGGGGAGGGAGCTCCAGGTATGGAATCGCCTCCTCCAGAAAGACTTTGGATTAAATGTGTGTGTGAGCAGAGCACGTGTGTGTGTGTGTGTGTGTGTGTGTGTGTGTGTGTGTGTGTGCACGCAGAGATTTGAGGCTTGCAGGGGAGGGCGGGGGAGAGTCAGCCTCGGAGCACTGCCAGCCTCCATCCTGGGAAACAGGTCAGCCCGCTGAGCATGGTACACCCGCTCCCCTGGGCGGGACAGGAGTGGAGGAAGTGCCAGCCTGAACCTAGACATTTCCGGGCTCTTGGGAACAAAACCGGCAACTGTGGAGCAGCCAGGGAGCCAGGCAGCCAGGCGAGGCGCCGGCGGTTCACACCGAGCCGTGTGGCTGGGTTCCCGGCAGACGGCGGGGTGTGAGGGGCTGGAGCCCGGGAAGCTCGGGCAGGGCTGCGGCTGCGGCTGCAGCTGCTGGGAAGAGGGCGGAGCAGTGGCGGGAGCACCGGCTCCTTTGGAGCGGGGCAGGCAGGCGGGATGGGGCGGGAACACGGGATGGGACAGGCACAGGTGGAATCCCAGCTCTGCCATTCACAGCAGCGTGCCCTGTGTGGCCGCTCTGGGCCTCGGCTTTCTCATCTGTCAAAGGGACAGTAATGCCTAAGTGCGCAGCAGCTACAGGGCACAGACTGGCTGTGAATGCCTGGCACGTGGGGTCTGTTGTCCACGCGGAGAAGGCCCAGGAGCTGAGGAGGAACAGAAGGGGCCCTTGTGGACCTGGGGGAGGAGCTGGGCGCGCTGGCAGAGGGAGAGCCTGGATGAGACCGGCTGGAGGATGGCGGGGGGAGGGGGGGCGGGGAGGGGAGGGGGCAGGACCGTGCTGCATCCTCCGGATGTGGCCGCCCGGCCACGCCACGGCGGTGGCTGCGGAAGACGGGACGTGAAGCCATTGCTGCCGAGACTGGCAGGACCAGGGGCCGGGCTGGCTGGGCAGGATGAGCCAGGGCGCTGCCTCGGGACTGGAGGAGCAGGCGGCCTTTTGCTGATGTGGGAACTGGGTGGAGGGGGAGTTATCTTGAAGACAAGTCTGAGAGGAGAGACACGAGCTGGCACACCAGCTGCCTCCAGCTCGGAGCTCCCGCCAAAGGAGGGGGGTAAGCAAAGGGGTCTCTACCCGGGCTCCCCACAGGCCCAGACCAACCAGGGGTCAAGCACCCGCAGGAGCTGGAGCGAGCGAGTGCGCCCTCTACTGGAGGGTGAAGAAACCTCCCCCTTGCAGACCAGGGCCCGGCGCTGCGTGAAATTACACTGCATTTTCCCCAAGCTCCCCTCCCAGCGTCTGGTGCAAGAAAGGGCTCAGGACTTCGAACCAGGCTGCCTTCCACGCCTGCAGCCGCTGGGGCTCTGCAGGAGGCAGGGCCCGTCTGGTCGGCTTTTGGGATAACCCAACCAGTGTGTTATCCACCCCGACGTGGCACAACCATGCCAGACACCCAGCCAGCAGAGCAGTGCTTCAGAACCCGCCGTGATGGGGAGCATCTCATCCTTCAAAAGATGTATCTTCCTCACCAGGTTGGTGTGGCTCAGTGGTTGAGTGTCAACCTCGGAACCAAGAGGTCATGGTTCCATTCCCAGTCAGGGCGCATGCCCAGGTTGCAGGCTTGATCCCCAGTGTGGGGCCATGCAAGAGACGGCCAATCAATGATCCTCTTTCATCATTGATGTTTCTCTCTCTCCCTTTCTGAAATCAATTAAAAAAAAATTTAGCCCTACCTGGTTTGGCTCAGTGGATAGAGCATTGGCCTTCAGACTAAAGGGTCCCGGGTTCAAGGGCACATGCCCGGGTTGCGGGTTCGATCCCCAGCAGGGGATGTGCAGGAGGCAATCAATGATTCTCTCTTATCATGGATGTTTCTATTTCTCTCCCTTCCTCTCTGAAATCAATAAAAATATATATTTTTTATTAGCTCTCTTCTTCTTGTTATTGGTAGTTTGAACATTAAAATTTTTTCCCATGGGGTCAAGAGGCACCTGAGTATATGATTCCAGGTGGAAAATAGGGGACAGAAATCAGATATGGGCAGTTTTTCCATTTTCATTTGTGTGTGTTTTTTAATATAAATGCGGGGACATAAAGCATTAATGCAAATCAAACTGTTTCCAGAACAAGTTGCAGCAGCTCCACTGTATAACCATATAAATAAACCTGTTAATTTTTCTGGACAATGCCAGCATTTGGACTTTTTAAAAATAAATTTCTTACTGATGGCAACGGCATGGTGTTTGTAGCATTTTTATCACACGGCAGATCCCCACTCACTGTACTTCCCAGCTGAGCTGTCCGACCGGAAGGCACGTGGCCTTAATGCTGTCTGTCTTCCCTGCAGTTACTGTGTGTCTGCTACTAAAATACAGAGCAGCCGGGTCTGGAGCGGCCAGGCCCGGAGCAGCAGCTGCCAGCCTGGGAGCGGCCAGGCCCGGGGGAGCAGCCGGGTCGGGTGCGGCCAGGCCCGGAGCAGCGGCTGCCAGGCTGGGAGCGGCCAGGCCCGGGGGAGCAGCCGGGTCGGGTGCGGCCAGGCCCAGAGCAGCAGCTGCCAGGCTGGGAGCGGCCAGGCCCGGAGCAGCAGCAGCCAAGTCCAGAGCAACTAGGTCGGGAGCGGCAGTGACCAGACCCGGAGCAGCTGGTTGTGGAACAAACCAGAGCAACAGAGGCCAGGCCCTGAGCAGCCAGGCCCAGAACAGCTGCTTAGGGCTGGGGTGTTGATCTGTGAGTGCCTTGGGTGGGGCCTGGATGAGGCTGGTGGACCTATTGGGAAATGTCTTTTGTGTGAAGTGTATCATTGGGCATGTGGAGGTATTATTGATATGAGAAAATGCTAAGTAACTGATTTACTATCTGAAAAGGGATTTACTATTGGGGAAAGGGAGGGAAGAAGAAACTGAACATAAACTGTGCACCTATGGATGAGGACAATGGGGGATGGGGAGGGGGCGGAGGGTGGGGTGGGAACCTCGTGGAGGGGGGAAGAAATGGGGAACCTTTGTAATGATATGAACAATAAAGATTGATTTAAAAAAAAAAAAAGACATTGGCGCTGGGAGGTGGGGGAGGGCTCCAGAGAGGGAGACAGGCCCCTCCCCCATCGGGGCTGCAGAGAAGGGGAAGCACTGGAGATGGCCGGGTCCTGTTGGGGAGACAGCCTTGGACACGTGTCATCTCACTACGCCTAGTGAAGTGGGAAGCAGGCCCACCCACTCTGCACGGTGCAGGGCTGGAGGGCCGGCCCACCCCTTTCGAGGACAGCGCCTGGTCCTGACACGGCCCCTGGCGCCCCGATCCTCCGGCCGGGCTGTCAGAGGCCCCGTCTTCACTGAGAGAACACCTTCAGTTCCCTGGAGACGGGACAGTGGAGATCACGCAAACTCAAAACGCACGACTGTGCCCGAGAAGGTCCCTTCAGGGCTGATGCGTTTACCCAGCGCTGACCGTGGCAGCGGGCTCTGCCCACCTGCCCACCGGGCCGCCTGCCCGCCTGCCCCGGGCTCGGTGTGACAGCTGGGGAAGGTCTCCTCCTGCCCCTTGCTCCCTTTAGGCAGTCACCCAAACTTACGGACTTCCATGGACAGCATCATGAGAGGATCCATCCCAACGTCTCTGCATTGCATTTGATTTTTTTAATGTATCAAATTGTAGCCTTACACGTTTGATACACTTTTTAATCCAGAAACATCGATGATGAGAAAGATTCATTGATTGATTGATA